ATGAATTAGTGAAAAGCTGTGTAAGTAAACTGGGTTTCGAAGAATCCCTTGATAAATTGATGTTGGAATATCTTTCATTTACTTTGAAGAGGCAAATGGAGGAGATCCATAAATTCGCCTAACCAGAAGTCGAGGGGCAATTGCCTTAAGGCTTTGACTGTAAGCAATCTTGTGACCCTGACGAATCCCTTCCAAGCTTTCGTTCGTCATGTGGCGGACATGTTCAGAGCCGACCACCATGCTTTAAGATAATTCACCAAAACAAGAAGACAAAAAGGTGGCCGACTGCAACCCCACCCAATTCCTGTAGCCTAACCTTGTCCCCTTGATGACAAATCTCATGATCTGGCAGAAGATCCTACGCTTTGCCTAAATGTTTGGCTGCGGATGACATGTGAAATGGCTGCAGATAACGCGCGAAACGCAATCAATTGTGACCTAACAGCTGCATCGTTCCCCCAAACACGTATACCTTTCATCCTACAGTGTTGCTGCAGGTTATTGTATTCCATTGCACGCCTGTTGTGTGAAAGCATTGCTCTTAAAATCAATTTGCTGTGAGAGCAAAGACCAGATTCGAGCCCAATCAAGCCTGCTCTTCCTCGACGGTCTTCTTCGTTCCTTCTCTCTTTCGAAGCCTATCCGACAGCAACAAACAATTTCTACTTAATCTTCCACACTCATTCCTTCTATTCAAGGTATCGGTTGTTCTAGATGTTGCCTGACCTCGTAGTCGGCATCGTCAGTGAGTTTTGTCACTTGTCATAACTAAGCTACGACTGGCTTTTCAGGTGAGGCGACATTGTATGTGAGGCAAGAGGGTAGGTAGCAGAAAGAGTGATAGCATAACCGTTTCGACAGAAAGTTGGTCAAGGGGTTGACTTCCATTGACTCTGTGACAGATTGTAGCTTGGTGCGGAGAATGGCCAGACTCGCTGATGATGCCGACTACGATGCCGGTGAAATGTCTGAGAATGCACTAAGTCAATGGTTCGACGCTTGGATATATGATAACTACTATTGCAGAGGACTTTGGACAAAGTGCGTCCGACTGGGTCGCCTTGACAACATAACCAAGTTGCGAAAACAAGATCAAACCAGATCTAGACATCGAATAGCGACTGCGTGGCTACATGTATTGACTGTTTTGTTGATTTCTGTCGCGTCCCTAATCTTCCACTTAATGGTATAGTCCCCACATCCAGCTAAGCGTTTGGCAGTGGACCAACAGTTCTGGTGTCCTGTGCGAGCCATGCGTTCGGCCACTTCCGAAGTTAGGACCCACAAACCCCTGCGGGCTGTTTTGTGTACAGATAACCTCGTATGTATGCGCCTGCAGATCTCTCCAACATCGGCGCTAGCGCCTCAACACAAAATTATGCAACAGCCCGATCTGGAGAGAGGGTCAAAATATTCTCGAGAAGGAGGCGTTACCAGGACAAAAAGTTGTTTTCTCTTTTTATTTTGTCATGATGCCCCATCTTATTTATTCGCCCGTCTTCGGCAAATTACACGATGGCAACATAAGGACTCTGGTGGAGTGGTCTAGACCCATATTTGTATTTCCC